TTCAATACTAGATGTATTGCTTAGCGATTAGACCAGGTTTTGTACCAGTTAATTTCTTTTTTATATTTGGTGCAATAAAGAATAGTGCAATAAAAAAATATAATGTATATATGTGTATGCAGGCATCACACTTTCCGAGTACTTCCGTGACATGGGTTACAACGTGTCCATGATGGCTGACTCCACGTCTCGATGGGCCGAGGCGTTGCGTGAGATCTCCGGTCGTCTGGCTGAGATGCCTGCCGATTCGGGCTACCCCGCCTACCTGGGTGCTCGCCTGGCTTCCTTCTACGAGCGTGCCGGCCGTGTCAAGTGTATGGGCAACCCTGACAGGGAAGGTAGGTCACGTTTTACTATCTGAATGATATTGTGGGACCACCTTCCACCTATGGTATTTCCGAACCGAAATTGGAACCTTCAAGATAAGAATTTGTTCCTTGTGGCAACACACTTCCAATATTCCTGGTGTTGAGGGTGTTTATCGGCGGCGTTCATCATTAAGTCAGCCGCAAGCTCATTTGTCTAGCTAGCTATACTATAAAAAAATCTTTTCCAGTCCAACCTATCTAATATATAATATCTTTTCATAAGGTTTATTATTATGTAATAGTGCACCCTTCTGGGCTAGTAAACGCTTCCAAGGCACCAGTGGAGGATGATAATATGAAGATGAAGTTAGGTCAGTAGGCCATCGTGGTAAATTCACCAGAAATTTATCATGATGGCTTCCAGGGGAAACAGCACACAAAAATAAAATTCAAACTTATTACGCACATTTAATAGTGTTGAGCTTTAATTGGCCATAAACAGTCATAGTATTTAAAAATGTAATAATAACTTTACTATTCTTTCTTTCATTCATTAATAAATTAAGAGCTACTATTTTGTCGGTGGAGCTATTACTATTTTCTACGATCTGCCGTAATCTTTTTTATATGTTCTCTTTCCTTAACAGAAGGTAATTTTTGATAGATTTCTGATTAATTTTTACATTTTAATTTTGCTAGGCTCCGTATCCATCGTGGGTGCCGTATCCCTGCCCGGTGGTGACTTCTCCGACCCTGTCACTTCAGCTACGCTCGGTATCGTCCAAGTGTTCTGGGGTCTCGACAAGAAACTTGCCCAGAGGAAACATTTCCCCTCCATCAACTGGCTTATCTCATACAGGTGATTTATTATGACTTATAACCTATATATACTTACTCTTTTGATTGTGGTAGTCACTAAACCAACTCGCCTGCGTGTTCAGGTTTTTGTAAACTGTGAGACGGGAGTGAGATATGGCAGTGAATTTAGAGGGGTATATTACCATTGGGATCACATAATGAAATAATCTATGTGGTGCTCCATACATCAGTATAATATGGCGACGGTCGCCACTTATCATCTGCTTTACCGTGGCAAATATTTTAATCTTGTATATTTGTAATCTTGTTAGGCGAGGCGGCGAGGAGGCGAGGCGGCTAGTTAAAATATATCTTAGGATTTTGTTGATTGTCTTCTATGTTATTTACAACACTAAACATGACCCCGTTGTTCATATGTATTTAGTGTCTGACACTAAATATGAAAAACTGTATGACTTTGTATAATTATAATGAATTTTGAGAATAATTATATATACCCATTTATTTAAATTTTCTGTGTTTTGTTTTATGCAGCAAGTACATGCGTGCGCTGGATGACTTCTATGAGAAGAACTATGGCGACTTTGTACCACTCAGGACCAAGGTATGTACAAATCAATATTTATTATGTGTACTAATTAATAAATTATGTTGTGAAAATTCATCAGATAATTTAAATGATTGTCTTTATATCAACAATAAAAACCTACAAATGTAACAGTAATTAAGACCTATAATATTGTTTATGCTACGGCTGTGTCTTTTTATTTGAAGTAATGGTCATAATTAGAGAGTACCTCTAATTATGACCATTACTTCAAATAAAAAGCAAGGATTACTTTTAAAACAAAGTTCTGGAGTAAATATGGATTTATAAGTTTCCAAAATTGAGTCTAAAATTCAAACAAGTCTTAACCTCATTTGGACATTGGAACACGAGAGATTTGAAATTGTTTCTAGCTTAATCGATAATATGAAAAAAATATTATATACGAGAATGAAGAACTATTAATAAGCCTTTTACATTTTATTCTTCAGGTCAAGGAGATCCTTCAAGAGGAAGAGGATCTGTCTGAAATCGTGCAGCTGGTCGGCAAAGCTTCGCTGGCTGAGACCGACAAGATCACCCTTGAGGTTGCCAAGCTCCTTAAAGACGACTTCCTCCAGCAGAACAGGTGAGCCGTTCCCTCTAACGTAATGTTATAAAAATATTATTTTTGTTTGTAATACATAAACTAAGAACAAAAACACGCAGTCTAAAAGATACATGTTATCAGGATTTATAGAATCAAAATCCCCCAAGGAATTTTACTCGAAACTTGAGTTAGGAATATTTTGGTTGAAATTTGGGGGCAAAAGTCGACATTGAGCAAACTGGCATCTGCATCTAATCTGCAATATTTATGTGTGATAATGATTTTTTTTATGTGGAGTGTGTTGGCTTATTTTTTCTGGCTTAAGTTTCTTTGACTTATTGATGTTTTTATATAGTAAAGTCTTTAATGATGTATGTATATGTGAACAGCTACTCGGCGTACGATCGCTTCTGCCCGTTCTACAAGACGGTGGGCATGCTCAAGAACATAATTGCGTTCTACGACATGTCGCGACATGCCGTCGAGTCGACCGCGCAGTCAGACAACAAGGTCACCTGGAATGTCATCCGCGACGCTATGGGCAATGTCCTCTACCAGCTCTCCTCCATGAAGTTCAAGGTTAGTTGTTATCACCATTCACTCTGTCTTTCCTTTTCACTCGAATGACTGACGCTAATATACTATTATTTTTTTAAAGTATGTTTTGTTTTAACACTTACAAAAAAATTACTAATTGGTATTTTTACAAATGTACCGTTGACAATGTAATCCAATTTACAGAAAAATCTATAATTAATTACTATGTAATGCCCGATGTTTTCGAAAATTTTTTAAAGTTTTTTTTGAAGTATTTGTAAATACGAAAATAAATATTGCGTTATGAAACTTTGTATCATGGTATCAGTGTGGAGGCATATTTAGGTCTAAATTAGGTAGGTCGAAATTAGAGCAATTATAGAAATATATTTTTATCTATGATCAATTGTGGCTCAATTGAAAAAGAAATCAGAATCTCAAGACCTGGATTGTATATAAGACTTTGCAGTCTTAGCAATCATCAAGTATAAAATTGTTGTAAGAAGTTAATAGTATAAATAATTATTATTACAGGATCCAGTAAAAGACGGCGAGGCTAAAATCAAGGCAGACTTTGACCAACTCCTCGAAGATATGTCAGCAGCCTTCCGTAACCTCGAGGACTAAGATACTGGCGCGTTCACGTCAGACGAGCGGCATCTAAAACGGGGCTATAATCACAAACTATCCCATTACATATTTAATAAACAATACCATGGACTAAATAATAATATATTGGAATCACCCAAAGCCTAATTAAGGGGTGAATATAGCTCGCTCGAGTTGACATTTCTTGTTAATACTTAGTAATAATACGTGTTGAAGTCTATGTAGAGTGCATAGGTTTATATTACTCGTTTCAAATCAAATATTCGTGATGCTATTGTTGATCAATCGAGTCGTAGATTCTCAGCGAGGTGCGCGCGCTCGAATAATGGCACTAAATACGTTACCCGCAGTTTCCAACGTCGGTTAGTCTCATTCGGTCGCGCGACTCTATGCAGTTAGTTGTTATTTATATTCTTATTATTATTAAATAAATATACTATTTATATACACTAACAATCAATTATTTGGCCCATTGATATTTTATGAATCGTCGATAATATCGAGTACCCTCTTGCATTCCACGTTGTTTTAGTTGTATGGAAATTTAACAATTCTTTTCAATGACTTGTTTCAGTTTTTTTTTATTAAAACGATTATCTATATTCAGTATTATGTTACAAGTGAGTGCACATTCTACGTAAGTGTAGTTGTTTTGGTTTCAATGTGTACAAATATATCCGCGCAATAATATATTTCTGTGACGTTAAGTGTTGAGAGGTGAAGAAAGTTATGAATAATAAAAAAATATAAAGTGTATATCGTTGTTTCATTTATAAAAATGCTTTGCTTGACACGATATATGGCATTCAATGTGTGGTATTGTGACTAGTTTTGTCTCTATATAATTTCACTAATTTATTCCATGCTCTAATTTAAATATAATATATAATAATTATTCGTTATTTTTTTCATTTTACCAATTATCTCACTAGAACAAAATACATTACACAAGTATTCAGCATTCGGTCTAAAATCGGTCTAATTCGGTTTATTTGTAGATAATGGGTAGTCGGCCGAATAATATAAAAGCAGTCGGATAGATCGAATACCAAATAGTAACAGAATAATACCTAGAAAATGTAACATATAGTAATACTTGTGCCACCTGAACTAGTATATAATTGTACTGTATCTCAGGTGCAACAAATTCCCAGTTAACACATGCAAAAAAATAAAGGAATTAAACGCCAGATATACTATTATTCATTGCTGATTCTGAATCAGTATTGTGGTTTTTTCCACAACTAATATATTGATCTATTTAAAAAGTCACTGCAACTGTATTTTCACATACTTCCACGAGCAATCGTTACTAGTTTAATTAGTATTTTTTAGTCTATTGATCAAATGAAACTTTATATTTATCAATAAAGGAAACATTATATTAAATAGTGCTTAGGTACTATTAAGTGTACTAATCATTCACCTTTTTATATATTCAATACCTATATATAATTTTGTTGAATGTCTAAGAAGGAATCTCATAAAGAAAGTACATAGGTACTGGCAGTCTACCAGTGACTTACGGTTCTTACGGTGACAGCTCTTAACAGAATATAAAATAATGAAATTTCATCAAGAGTAATTTTCTGAAAGAAATTTAACTTTTTTATAATTGCGATTATATTTTACTATACCCAAAATGAAGTATAGAGATGAACCTAATATGAGCGATACCACGATATTAATGAGTGTAGAAGATCTGATAAATAGAGCTATGGGTCCACCAGATGTAAATACAAAGATTTTGATTTTTATGATAACTGTTAGGCAAATCATGAACTATTCACTACCAGACTAAGCCATGTTACGTAAAGAAGTGTAGAGGTTTTAATCAATAATTATAATCTACTTGGGATAATGATTGACTTTGCTTGGTTGGCAGCGTTTGAGACTCATAATTTGTAACAACACTGCGTATTGTACTACTGACAGGCTACTATAAGTTCCGTTTCGAAGGGTGAACCTTTGAATAGGAACTTAGCTTGTCAGTTATTATACACATACAGGAACAGAATATTTATCATTATAATATTTTAGTTATGAGCTCCTGATATTTATTTTAAATATCCTGTTTATAACTGCCAAAAAAGTTTAAAAACTGCTATATAAAATCACTGAGAAAGATTATTAAAGTATAATAAATAAAATTATAATAAAATTTATTTACAGAAAAATGTAATAAATTACAAATTAGTGCAGACAGTTCTTCACATTCTTGCACGACAAATGCGCATGCTCGAACAACGGGTGGAGGTCAGAATTGAAGAGCATCTATCACCTCGTGAGAGAAGAGAAAAGACTAAAAAAGTAGAAATATCTACTGATAGCTCATCTAGTAAGAGTTCACGACCTCATACTTCTAAAGGCCGTATGGGAGAGATTTCAGAAGAAACTGAACGAGATAAAGAGAAAGAAAAATCAGAACGACCCATTTATAAAGGAGAGCAAAAACAATATACAGAAATAGATACAGCAATAAAAAGTACACATAAGGAAATAGAAATAGAAGAACAGGATGAAACGACAAAAAGTGAAAAGGGTACCAAGCAAAAAGCAAAACAAAAGACAATTTCTAAGAAAAGGGATAAAAGTGAGAAAGAACTAATAAAGGAGGACGAGAAAGAAGAACTAGAAATGTTAAATGACAGAGAAAAATCTGAAAAAGTAACAGTAAAGGAAAAGGAGAGAGAAGAGCGATCAACTGTTAAGGACAAGGAAAAGGTTGTAACAAAGGAAAAAGTGAAAGCGGAAAAAGCTATTTCCAAAGAAAGGGAAGACAAAGCAAATATTGTATCTAAAGAAAGACCAGGGGAAGATAAAAAGGAAACTGAAGATAAAGTAATGAGGAAAGAAAAGGAAAGGTCTGAAAAAAATGCTACAAAGGATAAGCAAAAAGACGAAAAAGATACACTGAAAGAAAAGGAAAGAGAAGAACAAGGTGGTATTAAAGATAAAATAAAGGAATTGAAAGTTCAAGATAAGGTTGACAAAACTGCTACTACATATAAAAAGAAAGAAGAATATCAAAAGTCGGATAAAGTAACACCTAAAGAACGAGAAAAGATGGAAACAGAAGCAATAAAAGAAAGGGATATGGAGGAGAAGTTGTTGCAGAAAGATAAAGAATTAGCGGAGATGGCGGCTAAAACTAAATTAAAACGTGATAAGGTTAAAATTTTAAAACTGACTTATTCGATACGTATCCGTATTTTATGTATCGAATAAGTCAATTTTATTTACATGTTACACTTAGTATTTATTATTTCTGGTATATCTCTATTATAAATAATTTAAATCGATTAGCGAGTGTTAGCAGGGCCTTTGATGACGACAAAACTATGGAGCAGAAGAACAATAGTGATGAATACCGCCTAAAGAATGGAAACCTCAAGTGACGATGGGAACCAATAATTGATGATGAAAAATGACGCTCGAGAACCAACCCCGCGATGACCAGTATAGTGTAGTGTAATGTTTAATGTATTTGGAATGACAAATAAGCTGACGGCCGACCTAAAGATACTACGGAAATCACGTTAGCATGTGATTTCCACGAGGCTAAGATGTGATTAAAGAGACTAAGATATCATGTCCTGTTCACTTGTAATTTCACTATCTAATCACTCCCTAAAATCTAAACACAGCTTACACAGAAGCTGTTAGGCAGCTAAAGTAAGTGAGATAGGAGCCCTCTCATATATTTCACGTAGTTTATTTCTGGTAATTAAAATCTTACTAATATTATAAACGAGGAAGTTTGTGAGTGCGGAAGGATGGATGGACGGATGTTTGTTACTCTTTTAGGCAAAAACTGCTGAAAGGATTTTAATGAAACTTTGCAATAATATAGCTTACCATCTGAATAACACATAGGCACAAATCACAAATTTAACGCGGGTGTAACCGCGAGCATAGCTAGTAAGGAATAACTTTGTGGTTCCATTGAGCTTATTAATGTTCGCAGGAATTATGATTTATTTTTCTAATTGCATTAAAGTTCAGAAAATTTAAGATGTTTTTTTCTGTTTAGAAAGGTAAAAGCCGGGTTGGATCAAGAACGAGTATTGTTATATCAGGTTGTAATTTTCTTACTTAATTATTGTATAATGCAGTACATACACTTAATCAATGTTTGTATGACATAAGAATGTTTGTTACTAAATTACATTTAAAGGACTGGACAGATTTAATATCATTTTGGATATCAGAAATACGTGCACTTTTTTATAAATTGTCGGTATGGCATGACGTATTAGTAGGTAGTAGGTCCAGATGTGAAAGATGCCTGTGAAAGTTTACTTATTGATTTCTGTTTCCTCAGAGGTGGAGCGACAAAAAGAGAAGGTGTTAGTAGGTAAATATTGTACGTATATGTCAAATTTAATATTTGCTCAGTACCTATAGTTACTAATTTGTTTATGTGACTTTCAGTTGAGAAAGGGCCAACGACACGTGTTGGTATGTTAACGTATTTTAAATATTTACAAATATAAGTATGTATACACATCCGATATCTATACGTAATATTGAAATAACCGGTTTTTACTACATGCATATGAATATAAATACGGTACCCACATACACCAAAAAAACATTTGTTCAATTTTTGTCTGTCTGTCTGTTTGTTCCGGCTAATCTCTGAAATGTCTGAACCGATTTTAATTGAATGATGATGAATAAAATCCTGTCTTTTATTGGCAGGTAGCTGACGTAATAACGAGTAATGTAGGCTGCCGTTATTTTAGAAAAAATCTTTTATTTTTGAAAAATAAAGCTAATTTCCACGCAGAAGAAGTCATTTGTACAGCTACCAGCTAGTTAGTAAATAAGTAGATTAAATTACGAGAACACGATAGATCCTGTTGTTCATCACTAGGAAGTCGTAATAAGCCGACAGAAGAAGAACGAAAAGATAGGGAAAACATTCCGTTGGATATGGTGATTGATTAGTGATGAATGTTTATGAATTTATCAGGATTAGGTACCTGATATATTATAGTCGTTAAATAATACAAAATAATTTCTAGAAGAGACCGATTTGACAGTTTATATTACTAGTAATAGTGGAAATACAGATAGAAGTAACTTTTATTCAAATAAACTTAATATAAGCACTTTTAAATCGTCATATTTTTTATTCTAACTCATTTAGACTTACCACAAGAAGATTGAGCAATAATCTTGGGTCTCTTTAAGTTACATAAATGTTGTTCAGTTATATTTTTTTTATTTTTTGAGTAGGTGACAAATATTAAAGCTTACGTTAGTAAATAAATAGTTATTTGAGTAACAAAACAAAATTATGCATAGTTATCTGAACAGACCAGTCCCTACAAGCAGCGCCTCTTCACAAGTATAACGGGCGCGCCAGACATTATTGTGGTTACCATAGTTTAAGAAGCCCGGTGACCAAAACCGAATAATATTTGCCATTTGCTTGTATTCACATTTAATACGCTTTAATTATATAAACATTATTTTAATATATTTACCACTGGTAGATTCGCGAGGACGTGAAAGCCTAGAAGTGGTTACACGATCCGAATTTGAAATCCTCGAAGCTTTAGTGAATGATTTAAAAAAGAATGTTGGTCCATTGCCAACACCAGCACTGCCGGATAACAAACAACTGAGATCCGAACTGGCTAAAGGCAGTGCTTCTCTTATAGATATCATGAATGCTATGCAGGTAAACATGCTTATTTAAATGTTTGTACGTCTATTAAGTTATCTGTGAATTGTCTAGATTACAAGTACGTAATCCAGATACAATAACACAACTTAGTATACTTTAGTAAATCTTTGCTATTTAAATTATCTTAGTTACAATGAATAAGGCACTGGTAGGAGCCATTTTTTGTATTTTATAATAAAAAAAATGAAATATTAATCGACTTGATTTAAATATAAGAGTGAACAGAATATCAGCAGGTATGTATTGGGTGTATATACCTCACTTCTATATTTTTTTCTAACATTTCACCAGACAAATATCTACATGTGTCTGGTGAATGAAGAATCTACATAAAACAGTGAAAATAAATTTTGAAAAAAGTGAGAGCGTATCAATGCTTAGATGGTCGATAATTTTTAGGTGAAAGCTCGTGTAGAAGCAGCTGAACAAGCTATTGGCCGTATGAGTGAGTTACTCACAGAACTAGCGGCAGTAGGTGCTCTGCCCGAAGATTTCGCTAACAGAATTGTAGAGGTTCAGTTTGAACCACTTGACACTTTGAAGCCGACTGACACCATAGAGACGCATGACGCATTTGAGCTACCGTTGGACACATCAGACGTAAGCCGTCTAAAATATTTTCTTTCTTATTTTAGATCATAATTTCAATTATAGTCACGGGTGTCATATTATAATGTGATGTCTGTAATACTATTAATATATAACGACGGTTACTTCTTACCATCATTCTTTGCCTTTAATCTTTTTTTTAAAAAGATACATCAAAGTAATTTTATTATTAAGCAAAAGCACTCCATTTTTCAGGATAAATCTCGAATAACTCCCGGTAAATCAGTAGCTATAGACCCGGCTTCGATCAAGTCAGTTGCTCCGAGATCTGCGCAGTCGGTGGTATCGCCTTTCAAAGCCTCAGTCGGGATGCCATCCCTAGCTTCACGCCTCTCCACCGCGCCAACGTTGTCATCTTTGCCTAAAGTTACTCACGTAGAGATGGAGTTAGTGTTTTTTTAAGTTAATCACACAAGAACAAAACAAACAAAGTCGGCTACATTTATAAACATCTATTAACGTTAATCAAACGACGTAATATATAACGCATTATAATGTGATCTATATATTATTTTATTAAAATAAAATAATAGAAGGTAAGAAAATCCGAGTATTTGGAGTGTAGTTTTCTAACGTTTCTTAATATAGATTTATCATTTATCATACACAGTTTTCGCGGCGAAGCGGTGACGCTACCAATTACATACACAAAAGTGTAGTACTGTTTTAATAACTCATTTAAAAAGAAAATGTTATTTTTTTCTAGTGATGCTCTCCGTTCTCTAAAAGAAGATTTATCAAGAAATGTAAATCTAATAGTCTCGAAAGCTTCAGCAGCCGCAGACATGGCAGTGTCTATGGCGAAATCAGTTTGTTAGCTTATTTTTATAATAATAATAATTTATTTAAAGCAACAAAAAGGTTCATATAATGTTAGTAACAATTTTTATACAATCTAATATTAGTGAAGTACCGAGTATATATTTTCTTCTATTCTATCTACAAAACCTTGGCTATAAAAATAAAAAGTACCTAGATTGGTGTAATATTTAATCTACTTAATACTATTTTTATATTATGATTAAACGGATGGAAAAAGGACAGATTTAAAACTGCTTATAGTTAAATTTATTTAAATACTAGCTGTTCCCGCGACTTCGTCCGCGTGGAATTTAACATTATTTTTCTAAAATAAAAGAATTTTTCTAGACTAAGTTACTCCTAATTACATCAGCTACCTGCCACAAAAAAGTCCCGTCAAAATGGGTCCAAACATTTCAGAGATTAGCCAGAACGAAGAGACAGACAGACAGACAGACAAAAATTTAAAAAAATGTTATTTCGGTGTATTCATCTTATTTATATTCATATGCATGTACTAAAAAACGGTTATTTCACACAGACATTCCAATTTTGTTTATGTGTATAGATAAGTAGATTACTAATGAATGAATGAATGGTATTGAATTCCACGGTAGGTACTGTTTGCGTATAGTAGCTTGTTTTTTAATAAATGAAAATTAATGGAAATGTTTACAACGGTTTTAGCGCATTAACAGTACACGCTGACGGGGCACCAGTGGAGGATGAAGTCAGTTCAGTTAGCCCATCGTGGTAAATTCACTAGGAATTGTTGGGAAATCTACAATTACGGTTTTTTAGAGCGATGACGTGGAGTTCGATTTTGGAATTTGAAATCTCTATTTCCCATTATTAATAATCTTTACCCCATAAAACGACATCACATGTGGACTTCACACACACATCTCTGAATGTTAAAAACATGTGTTTTTACATTTATAGCTGAAAAGCTGAATGTGGCAGTACAGTTAAACACGCGTGTATCGACGTTACACTCACTCGTATCCGACTATTCAGAACAGCTCAGTGGTTTCGATGCCGGACTTTCTACTCAGGTAATTAGTTTCTATGATATTCAATTTTTTTTTACACATTTGGATAATAGACTCGAATGCAGGAATGGAATAATGACCGCACATGATTACGATATGCCCATACATTATTGTTTTTCATGTATATCAGCGACTCGTATTACTTGCCGTCAGATTATTTGTCATTCCAATTACTTAAAAAATAAGGCTTCTGAAATGGTATTATGAATAGTATTATTTATTTCGCTATATATTAATGGTAATGTTTTAGATGCAAGGTTTCCAAGACCAAATAGACCAACTGCGATCAGATTTAAAAGATGGACTAACACAGCTCGAGCAAGTAAATAATAATGCTGAAACAGTAGGTAAGATATTATTATATATTTCATATATTGATGAAACAGAGTTATTTCTATCCTAACATTACAAATGCGACAGTGAATTTGTTTGTTACTTTTTCACACTTAAACCGCTGAATTAATAATTATGACAAATTTATTTTACTATATTTTGTAAATATACACATAATTTACATAGAAAACACCCAGACCGATACAAACAATCATACGCATAAATACAAATAGTTGTACCAAGTGAGAATCGAACCTGCGACCATTGGAAAGCAAGATATTGTCTGTCTTCAATAGAAGATCAGAAGTCAAAACGACAGGTTTTAGAATTTT